CCTGCAAGCCATACGGGTAAGAGAAACACAGGCATGGGGAAGAATCTTAGGAGGCCCTTGATCTGTTGTTGGTCCTTCCCCTGCCTGTGCCCCCACTTTATCTTTATCTGCTTCTACTGCTAATGAGCTCTTAGTTTATCTGGACAGTGACAATGTCACTACATATGAGGATGATTTTGATTTACTTCTCTGGTGGCGTGACCACAAACTAACCTATCCAATCATATCTATAATGGCTAGAGATATTATGGCTGTTCCTGTTTCTACTGTCTTTTCGGAATCATGTTTCAGCTTTACAGGAATGATAATTGAAGAGCGGCGACACCGCCAATTGCTTGAAACTATGGAGATGCTGGCCTGCATAAAGGATTAGGAGCTAGGAGAAAGCAGATTACAACATACAGTTGACAACCAAGAGCTGGAGGACTCCTTCAAGAATCTGTACCTCGATGAAGATGCAGATGGGGCTGCTGGTACTGTTGGTTCATCTAGGGCTGGGGCTGGTTCATCTGGGGCTGGTACATCTAGGGCTGCTGGTAATTAATCTGTTATCTCTATTTTGTATCTGTCATCTGTGACTGTGACAGTGTGACTTGGGACCTTTGAACAATGATGGAAGACTTATTAAGAGATGTGTTGCACTCTTTTTTTCTTTCTAGGGTTTCTCACACGGATGAGTTTTACCTAGAAAGGTTTTTAATAAGACAGCATTGCACAAACAGCTAAGTTATTTTAATTCTCTTGTCTCATTTGGTGGCTTTTGTTAGAATTGAGAATCTGTGACTGTGATCAGTTTATTACTTATGAATGTAAAATATTGAAATATGAATGAATTGTGAAAATGAAGAAGTGTTGAATGAGAGAAGCAATTTGAGGTGTTTTAATGGCATCGAGTTGTGGGCTGGCACGGCCTGCGGATTTGGCCGTGCTTAACAGGCCGACACGGCACAAATTTCGGCCTGTAGGGCCGTGCTTTAGCCAAAGGCCAGACACGAGACCCGGAGGAGCACATCACGGGAGGCACGGCGTGCCGTGCCGGCCCGACCCCCTGCGGACCGTGCTTGGCCCGGGTCCGGGCCGGGCCGGCCCGTTGGCCAACTATAGCTAGCTGACAGAAATCCAGCCACAAGATCTCACCACCTGCGCTTCGCGTGGTTCTCACAAGGCCTATTTTTCATCCTCGTGTTTTGGCGGGGCATTTACATATTTACCACTATTACGGATGACATCTTACACTGTGTTACTGACATGGTATTTCTTATACCACTCACATAGCTATGATGATAAATATGTAAATATTCCTGTTTTGGCTAGTTGCTATTGTTACTGCCACCAATGGCAGCTTAAAGTTATCCATTTATGTTACAGAGTGGAAACCAAACAAAGTTAGTGTGTTTGTTACTCTGTTATGGTTACCGGGTTTTTCTAATCAACCTGTTCTCCTTGTCTAGTCTCAACTTAGTTTATGTCGCGTTCGGCTGGCTGGCCAGCTGCGGCTAGGCTGACCAGCGCTCTCACAGCGGCACTGTTTCACGCGAACAGTGTTACCAGATATAACAGTATTTTTCTCTTACAACAATTAGCCAGAACAATATTTTTATTTATTTTTTAGTCCTGCCGAACAGGTCCTTAACTTGTTTCAGCTTATTCTCTCTCACAGAACACTATTGAATCAGTCGAAATAATCCAAAATAATCCAAGAAGTGGATCAGCCGAACACGTGGTGTTTACGTTGTATTTGCTGAATCAAACAACACCGGAGATATACGCTATGTTTCAATATATAATAGAAAAATAATATATTTAAATAATTAAAACATCTTATAATTTAAAAATAATAAATGTTTGTAGCATAGAATAGAATAATAAAGAAAAGTCGTGGCATACCCGCATGCGATGGGTGGATGGGGACACGGCAGTCGGCAGTCAACCGGTTCGTTTGGCTGTGGCTTGTCGTAAACGATCGTAAATTTCTAACCAGAATAGTATTTTTCTCTCACACAAATCAACCAGCAGTACTTTTTTACGAACCAGCAACGAAACGAACCAGCCAACCGAACAGCAACGAAACGAAGCAGCCAAGCGAACGAGGCTGAGTGTCTCCGACTCCATGAACGTCTTCACACATGTCGCGCGGAGAGGCCTCTTGCGATTCCCTGCTGCGCTCGTTCCCGTGGCAGGCACCTAGAGATCGCTGAGCTGTCCGCTGTCTCAGCATCAAACCGATTATTACTGCTATCTTGGACGCTGGACCGCGACACAGGAGGGTGCACCAACAACCCCGGCGCAGCGGATCCGGCCAGCGGCTTCCGGGGGCGGTGCAGCGTCCGGGTCAGACTTGGAGGCATGGCATGCCTGCCCGGTTGAACTGTCGCCTCGGCAGAGTGTCCAGCGAGAGCACGAGCCATGTTAAGCAGATCTCCGTCGCTTTCGGTCCTTTTCGAGTATTTTCTTATTTAATCTCTCTCTGCAAAAAAGAGATTCATACGTAAAATAAAGTGTTTGCTTTAAATAAAGAGATCTGTCCTGTTTGTTTGTGCGATGAGATTTGTCCTGTTTGTTTGTGCGATCAGCCGTACTATTTTAACGAACGAATATTATTTTTTTCTTCAATAATTCAATGAACAGTACTTTTAGTGAGGGCTCTTCCGCAGAGCTACCTAAACTTTAGTAGTTGTCCCATAAGATATTTGGACACATGCATAGAATATTAAATATAGACTAATTATGAAATTAATTGCATAGTTTTATGACTAATTTGCGAGACGAATCTTTTAAGCCTAATTAGCTATGATTTGACAAGGTGGTGCTACAGTAAACATACGCTAATGATGGATTAATTAGACTTAATAAAGTCGTCTCGTGGAGTACTGACGGATTTGTAATTTATTTTTTTATTATTATCCGAACACTCTATACAACATCTTTATATAACATCTCCTAAACTTTAGTCATCGGATCTTAACAGCCTGCTACTAAAGTGCTTTTGACGCTTATCTCGAGTCTCGAGAGGGAATGGGGCAGATCACGTTGAGATTTTGCCGGGGAATGGGTCCGGATGGTAGAGGACAGATGCTTATTTTTTTTTTCCTGCCATGCGCCATAAAACAAGTGGCATCGCACATATACCCTGCCCACAGGGATGGGCTGGAATGATTGTTGATCATATAAATATAAATTTGATGAATAATCAAATTCGTCTTTTTAACTTTTTCTTCGAGTATATAACTTTCATCTATCCCTCAACCAGCTGACGGTTACTTGAGCCCTTTAACTTTCTCGTTCATCCCAAACAATCGTTTGTTATGTTGTGGCGTGCCTAGTTGGCGATAAATTTGCTTTTCACCAATCTTCCCATGGCATCGCAATTGATTTAATAAGTGGTTATACATCTATATATAAAAGGTCCTCTATCCTATTTCTTTATCTTCAATCTAGGATCAAGATTTTTTGAGTTGTAAATAGGAACATCTCTATAGCAAGAATACTATTTATTTATGAAATCAGATGAGCATTATTAGATACATTATGCAATATACTTTTCATAAAATACTTCTTTCATGTGTTAGATTTAACATTCATCTTTGTTAATCTGATCCAATTTAAAATAGTTTGACTCGAAATAATTCAAAACCCTTATGTACTATGTTGTATTGTCCCTTCAAATATTGTTTTTGCTGATTTGACCATGCTTATGAACATAATAATAGGCCTTTGTCCATACCCCAATTATTCTTTTCCTAGCATTTGTCTATTTTTTGAGGGAAGAGAATAAGGGATAGTGAGACAAGACCATAGGCCGATATTGGTTCAACAAACCCTTTTCCTCTCACCCTCTGTTCCAATCTTTCCACTCATTTTCTCTCTCCTTACATCTAATTAAATCTTGTTTGGTTGCACTTTAATCCACCTCAATCCATATTGACCATATGTTACCTTAAGAGAGCCAAATCAGTTCTTCCGGGCTAGCAAGTTCTTGTTGCTAGTGTCGACGAGGTGAGAAAAAGTGTGCAAAGAACCAAACACGTCCTTATTCTCTCCATGTATTGGTGGGCCAAGGTAAATGATTACATCCATAAACTATACACTTTGTTGAACAGATCACTCCTTTTTAAGACAACACAGCTATAGTTGATGATAACACAATTGACGTTATGCATATATATGACACTTATTTAGACACAAGGTGCCACAAACTAGGGCTGCATTATTATTATTTTTGCAACATTTAGATGTTTGAATTATATTTTTTTCAAGACTGGGATTACTTCTACCAAAATTATAATAGGATCATCTTCCCAAGATGGCATATAGGAGGAGTAGGTAGTACGTAGTACCATACTTGCTCTGGCTTTTTTTATATATCGTTCTTATTTTCTAAGAAGTTAAATATGCTTAACTTTAACTAAATATATAAAATAAAATATTAATGTTTATAATACATAATTAGTATCATTATATATGTCGTTGCTAATATATTTTATAAACTTATCATTTTCATGGCACACACTTAAATAGCGACCGAGAGAGTAGCATCGAAGCACTTAAAAACATTTACTCCGTACCAAATATAAATCCACGGTGGAAAAAGGATCACAGGCCTGCATGCCAGTGATGTCACGGCAACGGAAAAATCTCGCCTCGTTCGCTTTGCTGGCTGATAAGCACGATGAAAATATTGTTGACTGATCCGAAAAAGCAGGACGTCTATCGAAACGTCCGTTCCCCTTTCGCCACCCTTTATTTTTTGTATTTATTACTGTGCCATCACAATCTCTCACCTCATATGAAATTCGCCGAAGCGCTCTCTCTCCTGACGTGCGCCTCCGAAGTTCCGAGTCCCCGTACGGTCCCCCCTGCTCTCTCGAAGCCTCCAAGCCTCGGGACCCCTCACCCCCCTCTCCTCTCGCGCCGCGAGGGATTGATCCGTCCGGCGATCTGGGCCCTCCGGCCGGCGCCCGCGCCTGGGAGGCTTCTCCTTCCCCGCCGCACGGGCGGAGATGCTTTCGCTGCAACAGCAGCACGGTGGCGCCGTCGCCGGAGGCGGCGAAGCGCGCCATCACGCGCCGCAGCCGTCGGTGCTCGGCGGAGGCGTGGACTGGCTAGTGTTCGGGGCCCGCGCCGACCTGGAGGAGCCCGCGAGGAATGCCCCGTCGCCCGCCTTGTTCCTTCTTCCGCCCGCGCCGCTCGACGACAGGGCGGCCCAGCCCGAGCCGAAGCCCAAGCCCGGACAGCTCGCAGGAGGTGATTCTAGCTGCAAGCGATTTTTTAGTCGCCTCTTCTGTTCGCAGATTGTGTCCGTCCGTGTTTTGAATTTGGGGAATTCGAGCTTGTGTTCTAAGATCTACCGGTTTCCCTCCCTTCCTTGGTGCTATTGGTAGATTTGGAGATGTCCCTTCTTTTTTTCCGTTAGGGAAATAAGAATACTAGTACTATGTTGGTGTCACTGCGGAGATTTGATGGTGTTGTTTTGTCTTTTACTTCAAATATTTATTATATATATAGGTGGAATATATAATTTTTTTGTGTGTTGATTTGGATTAGAAATTGCAACTTGTAGGCGATCGTGCTGACTGTTTCGACTTTGGACTGGGAGAAGTGGGCATAAAAGGTTCTAGAAGAATATTATAGGCTACCTTTATTTCTGGTGGTCTATATTCTGTATAGGGTTCAGTGGTTCACACCTTTAGCTCTAGTCCATCTTTAGAAAATTGCAATTTTGGAGGTTGCTTGTATTAGCAGCATAACTTTCTGGGAACTTGATGTCATATTCTTCAGTTCCAGAAACAATTTTCTATCAAACTGTATCGGTTGCTTGTGTAAATCTGACAAACTGCAATCAAGAGCTTTAGATTACTTTGGGGATGATCAAATGTTGATGCTGTTTTACCATTCCGAGTTGCCAACAGGGCTAGTATATTCATCTCCGGGGCTTAGTGAGGATATTGATGGTAGTGACACCTTGGTGGCGATCTCTGGACAATTATTTGCTCTCATGTTAAATTAGGAAAAAAAACATATTTGTGGAGACGTGCGCATCCACACATTTGTGGCATTAGCAATTAGTTTAGATGGGTAAACGCGTATTAGCAAGAAATTAAGAAGTATCATCTGTTCCTAGCATGAGTTGAATGGCTTTATATTGTAGATTTCACTGTTTTGAATTCTTCACTGAAGCTTACCCCAACTTGCTTGTGAACAAAAGGCTTTGTTGTTCTTATTAGTCGATATACTGATCGCCAAATAATATAGTTTTGTTCTCCAATGTTTCAAAGTGTGATTCTGGTGATTCATGGTTATGCGAAGCAAGTGCTTACTTTACTTCTAAGTCATATGGGAAGATTTATATGTAAACTGCAAAGAGCACTCAATTCTCATGAATTTCATAAATCATGGCCTGATCGTGGTAATTGCCTTTAGGTCCTGCACCGTGTGCTACATTCTGCTAGGAGTAACTTTCTGCAACCATACACAATATATTTATGTTATTACTGGTATAAATTCTGTAAGAAATGGATGGATAATTAATATCCATGATTTGGAACTTAGTGGGAGGGAAACATGAACATGAATTATCTTGTTTTGTTCAGATGAAACAAAATTATCAATTGATGCTTGCACGCAAGGTTTCATTTCACTGTGTTTACATGTATGTCGGTGGTAGGCACGATGAGAATTTTATTGGTTACTTGAATGGTGTAGCTGTTGATGAAGAGCGGCATTTGGCACTTGCTCATCAAAACTACAGGTCAGGGAAGTACAGAGAGGCACTAGAGCATGGTAATGTTGTTTACGAGAAGAATCCACGTCGAACTGATAACCTCCTCCTCCTTGGAGCTATATACTATCAGGTGGCTAATTCACTTCATATTCTCCCAGGCATGGATGCTAGCTTTTTCTACCTGACATTATCTAACGTGTTTGAATTCCTTTTCTGTTGCAGATTCGTAATTATGACATGTGCATTGCAAAAAACGAGGAGGCTCTTGCCATAGATCCACACTTTCTTTGAATGCTATGGCAATATATGGCGAATGCTTGGAAGGTAGTTTTGGGCAAATGTGACAAATATTATTGTGTCTACTATATATATACATGCATCCCCCTCTGAAAAACCTTTATTTTTCAATTATGTCATCGATGTGTTTTTTTGTGTGTAGGAGAAAGGCGATATTGATCTTGCAATTCGTTACTATCTTCCGCCATTCAGTCTCATCTCGATCTTATTTATATTTTTCTTTGCTTTTTGTTACTTTATACCTTTTTATTTTACCTGTTTTCACCGTTTCAGATGAATTTTATTACTTCTTGGTGTTTGATGCTCATCTAAGATGACTAGGTAGTGACTCATGGTGGCAAACCTCTTAACACCTAGTTTAGGGGGTCAACACCTAAGTAGCACGGATATGTATCCGATACGGGATATGCCCCTTCCTTGCCGCGTCCGTGCTTCTGAGGTAACACTACTCTAGATACACTGCCCACGTAGGTTGTCCCTGTGATGGATAAGTCTTTGGGAAATTTGGTCTTTTGTGAAATTTCTTTGCATGGTGGTTATCAAGGACATGACATCCTTGGTGAAGGATAGCATCTAGGACGACATCTGAGGACTAGCATCTTAGACTCTAGGATGACATTTTATGACAAAGACATATTAGCATCTTAGACTAGCATCTTAGACTAGCATCTTGGCATATGCTTGGTTGGCTAGCTTGACCTATAATATGTATCCCAACCCCTCAAAGTTGGCATGGCATTTGTGTGAGTTTGTGTGAGAAATAAAACCGTAAAATTGTCCCAACTCCTAGTGTCATCCTCTCTCGATGAGAGTAAAAATTCGCTACTACCAAGAGTGAGAGTTCAACGACTAACAAACTGGTATCAGAGCCAGTACTATCCTGTGGCAGAGCATCTCCTCGCTCATCCCTCTCCCTGCCACCATTACTTGATTTCATTGCGGCAGCCCGACTGCCTCCGCTCACTCCTCCCCCACAGATGAGCAAAGAACGTCTCGAGGCGACTCTCTCCCCATGCGGCCAGTTGGCAGCGTCATGTGTCGCGAGGCGATCTCGGCCTTTCATTCGCCTCGAGCACGCGCTGGCGTCGGCAGGAGGCCGAACTTGCCGCAGCAGAGGAACGCGAGCAGCGGCAGCAGAGACCCCGCGTGGCGGCGGCAAGAAGCGTCGAGGCGGCGGCGGAGCAAGCAGCAGAGCAGAGGCGGAGGCGAAGCAGGCGGCATGGAATGCGGCAGCGTCTGGCGGCGGTGATGGAGGTCGAGCTTCTGCCAGCAAAGATCGGCAGCTCCATTTCGGCCGACTACACCGCCGACGCGACCTCGAGCTGCTAGAGAGGGAGGCGGCTTGAAGGTAGCGATGAAGCGCAAGCGCCACGCCAGCGTGGCGGCAGCCGAACGGCAGCAGCGCGACGCGCTGGCGGCGCTCTGGGCGAAAGGCGCGACTGGCGGTGGCGCTCTGGGCAGCGCAGACGCCATGGCAGCGCGGCGGCGGCCGAGACAGCGCGGACGCGCGGCGGCGCTCTGGAGGAGGCGAAACGGCGGCGGCGGCGCTCTGGAGGAGGCGCGGCGCGGCGGCGGTGGCGGGCGACGGTCGATGAAGCGCGCGGCCTTCCACAGCGGCGTGGCTCTCTCCCGGATCGGTACCGACGATGTCGATGGAGAGCCTTGGCCTTCGCGCAGCGGCGTGGCTCTCTCCCGGATCGTGCCGTGGTTACCACGGGCTCCGGTATTGTCGGGACGTCGGTCCCGGTGGGTGGCCTATCCTCACCAAGACCAACTCGTCGAGTGGGCTGCGGTGATGAGGTAAAGCTCCAGTGCGACACATGTGGGAGGCGGTCCGATGCGGCGGCGCCGACGACATTCGACCTAGATCGACGGGCGCTGGATACCCTTATCGCTGCGAGTCCACCGAGATGCGATTCTCGCTACCAACAAGCGGATCGCCAAGGAGGCTTGGGGCGCCATCGCTGCGGCGCGCGATCGGCAGCGGCGCGCGCGCCAAGTCCCACTGCGGGCTCTTCGCAAGGAGTGGGAGAACACGGCCTTCAAGCGGTGAGGACGTTGATGACTTTGCCCTCCGTCTCAACACTCTGTTGCGAGAAGATGGTGCGATTCGGCGATGACACCTACGGCGGGAGAGGCGTCGAAAAGCTCTTCCGCTTACGCCCCGAGAAGTACAAGCGGATGGCTCACTCGATCGAGTCCTGCTGGATCTCTCCACGATGTCGATCGAGGAGGCGATAGGTCGCCTCAAGGTCGTCGACGGCGATGAGCCCTGATCTCTCTCGGGGCCCATCACCACCGGCGGAAGCTCCTTCTCACTCGGGAGCGGTGGCTTGCCGGCCTAAGGTGACCGGAAGAAGGGAGCCTTCTTCCGCGACAAGCGATCGCAAGCGTGGCAAGCCACGCAAAGCGTATGAGACACCGGCCGCGGCGCGAGGGCGTGTCGAGGGTGATGCCCGCGGGCGCCTTAGGGCGGGCCGGCCGCAGCTCAAGCCAAGACGAGACGACGCGCCGCCGCAATCTGCGTCTAAGCAGCCATTGGGCCAAGGATCGTCGACAACCACGACGCGGCCAGCCCACGTCGACTGGCGGCGGAGGCCGGCTCTGTTCATGGCACATGCTAGCATCGAAGCGCCTCACGCGGTGACTTGCCCGGCGCGATGGCTCTCCTCCACCTTGACGAGTCAAAAGCACACGCCCTCCTCGGCGGCAGCTCAAGCAGAACGACAAGACCGACGGGTGGTGCCTTGACACCGCGCCGCCCCCATCACATGACCGGTCGACGGGAGTTCTTCACCGAGCTTGACTCTAGCGTCCGAGGCTCCGTCAAGTTTGGGGATGCCTCGGCGTGGAGATCAAAGGCGTCGGCTCCGTCATCTTCACCGCTGTGGTTCGGTGAGCACAGTCGCTCGCCGAGTCTACTACATCCCCGCGTTGAGGAACTCCATCATCGACTTGGGACACGGTGGATGAGAACGGTTCGCGTGGTGGTTGAGGACGAGTCGAGGATTTGGGATCGTCGTCGTCGCCTTCTTGCCAAGGTATCCGAGCGCAAATCGACTCTCGTCCTCAACGTGCGGTGGCACAACCCTCTGTCTCATTTGCCGTCCGGACGACGGCGAGGCGTGGCGCGAAGGGCACGAGCGTTCGGGCACCTTCACTTCGAGGCCCTAAAGCGGCTCGGTGCCCACGGAGATGGTGCGCGGGCCTGCCGTGCCTCGACCATGTGGAGCGACTCTGCGACGTCTGCGTGTTGACGAAGCGAGGCGACTCCCTTTCCCGGTGAGGCGAGCTTTCGATCTAAGGAGAGGCTCGAGCTTGTGCACGGGGACTTGTGTGGCCCGGTGACACCGCCACACCGGGAGGACGACGCTACTTCCCGCCGCTTTCGTCGGCGACCTCTCCCGCTACATGTGGGTGATGGTCCTCATTTTGCAAGGGAGAGGTCATGCGGACGCCATCATCGGTATGTATGCCAGTCAGTCATGGCGGAGGAGTGAGTCTGCCGCAAGTTACGCTGCGTCACAGACCGACAACGGCGGAATAATTCACGGCGGTTGAATTCGCGTCGTCAGATCACAATGACGAGGGCATTCACGCCACTACTCCTACCGTCTGACCGCAGCGAAGAGGCGTCGTCGAGCAGCGCAACCAGACGGTTGTGGGGATGGCTCGGGCCCTCCTCAAGCGAGGGGATGCTGACCATTTTTCGGGAGAGGCGGTGGTGACGGCCGTCTACATCCTCAACCGCTTCGCCTACCAAAGGCGCTTCGGCGGCAGGACGCCCGACGAGGCTTGGCATGGGCACAAGCCGGCGGTCTCCCACTTGCGGGTCTTGGCTACCTCGCGTTCGCCAAGGAGCTTGGCCACATCGGCAAGTTCGACGGCGGGAGCACCGGGAGTGTTCATCGGCCACGCGGAGGGCTCGAAGGCCTCACCGCATCCTCGACCAAGAACGGCGTGTATGCGGCGGCGCGACGTTGTGTTCGACGACGGCGAGATGGGCGTGGGACAAGCGGTGGACGACGGCTCGGCTCCGACGCACGGCGACTTCTTTGTCGAGTACGCCCACCGAGGGAGCTGGGAGTAGGCGGCTCTTCTTCTTGAAAGCGCGTCTACCCCGGATCCCGAGCCTCCACCGACCCCGGTGCTCGCTACTCAAGCAAAGACCACGCTCTCGGCCGGGACCTCGGCTGCGATGAGAGTTCTTCATTGGCTCCACCATAGCCGAGTGCGCCACGCACTCCAAAGACCGACAAGCACCACTCCGGGCACATCTACCCCCACCACCGGCTCGTGTCGAGCATGGCCCGATTGAGCTTCGCTACTCCGCTCTCTCACGACGAGGAGCGTCGACGCCAGCATACCACGGCGGCGAGCCGTTGTGGTCTTGTCTGTTGGAGAACCTTCTCGGCGACCGGCCGGTGCGGACCGGTGCCTCACGACGGAGGCGCAGATTGCACCTTTGCGTGTGACGACGGCGAACCTCGGTCGTTTGCAGAGGCCGAGAGAGACGCGGCATGGCGCTACCGCGATGCGATTGGAGATGGATGCGGTTGAGAAGAACCGCACTGGGAGCTTCTTCGACCTTTTCTCGTGGTCACCGTGCGATCACCCTTAAGTGGGTGTACAAAGTGAAGAGGATGAAGCCGGTGCCATCGTCAAGCACAAGGCTCGCTTGGTGGCACGAGGCTTCGTGCGGCGGAGAGGGACGACCGACGGCGCCTTTGCTCCCGTGGCACGGATGGAGTCCGTCGCGACTCCTCCTGCTGCGCTAGGCGGCGGGAGAAGTGGCGTGTTCATCACATGGACGCGTCAAGTCGGCATTCCTTAATGGCGACTTGAAGGAGGAGGTCTCGTGCACCCACCGGCGGGATTTGCGATCCCCGGCAAGGAGGGCAGGTGCTCACGCGCGCAAGGCCCTACATGGCTGGCGGCGGGCATTGAGGGCGGAATGCCAAGTGGATTCCACGCTAAAGGGATGGGCTTGAGCAAAGCCCAAGACGAGGCGACCATCTACCGGACGGGCGGTGGAGGAAATGCTCTGGCTTTGGTGGGTGTGTACGTCGACGACTTGGTGATCACCGGCACCAAGGATGCGGAGGTGGCGACATTCAAGGAAGAGATGAAGGCCACCTTCTAGATGAGTGACCTGGGACCTCTCTCCTTCTACACGGGATCGAGGTGCACCGGGATGACTCGGGATCACGCTCGACTGACCCGCCTAAGCCAAGCGCGTCGTTGAGCTAGCTGGGCTCACCGGCGCAACCCAGCTCTCACTCCGATGGAGGAGAGGTGGTCGAGCCGCGACAAAGATGCATGGCGGAGGTGGGCGCCACGCAAGAGACGGCGTCTTGTGGGGAGCCTTCGCTACCTTGCCCACACACGGCCGGACTTGGCATTCTCCGTCGGCTATATTAGTCGGTTCATGCAGCGACCGACAACGGAGCACCAGCAGGCTGTGAAGAGGATCATCCGCTATGTTGCGGGGACTCTCGACCACGGCCTCTACTACCCTAGGTGCCACAGGCGGCACACTTCATCGGGATGCAATGACGGCGACGACCACCGGCGGCGTCGACGCCAAAGAAGAAACACGAAGCGGGATCCTCTTCTTCCTCGGCAAGTGCCTCGTTAAGTGGCGATCGGTCAAGTAGCGGTGGTGGCCCCTGGCATCATTGCGAGGCCGAGTACATAGCGGCCTCCACCGCTTCGACTCAGGCGCTCTGGCTCGCCCGACTGCTTGGTGATCTCCTCGGCAGAGACACTAGGGCGGTGGAGCTCAGGGTGGACAGCAAGTCCGCTCTGGCCCTGGCAAAGAACCCCGTCTTCCATGAACGCAGCAAGCACATCCGGGTGAGGTACCACTTCATCCGAGGCTGTTTGGAGGAAGGGAGCATCAGGGCGAGCTACATCAACACCAAGGACCAGCTTGCGGACCTGCTCACCAAGCCCCTTGGGAAGATCAAGTTCCTTGAGCTCTGCTCGAGGACCGGGATGGTTCAACTCTCCCACAAGACGACGCACAAGACTTAGGGGGAGAATGATGGATAAGTCTTTGTGGGGCTGCTGCATGGTGGTTATCAAGGACAGCATCCTTGACTGAAGGACAGCATCTAGGACAGCATATAGGACTAGCATCTTAGACTCTAGGACAAATCTTAGGACAGCATCTTAGAGGACAGCATATTAGCATCTTAGACTAGCATCTTAGACTAGCATCTTGGCATATGCTTGGCTGGCTAGCAGCCTATAAATATGTATCCCCAACCCCTCAGGTTGGCATGGCATTTGTGTGAGTTTGTGTGAGAAATAAAACCAGAAAATTGTCCCAACTCCTAGTGTCATTCTCTCTCGATGAGAGTAAGAATTCTGCTACTACCAAGAGTGAGAGTTCAACGACTAACATCCTGGACAGCCTATCCAGGTCCAGCCATGTTTAGGTAGTTTTTGATGGTGCCTGGCGTGACTAGGTGGCTGTACTGAGGTGGAGATCGACATAGTGTGCAGGGATGAAATTTGATTAACTTCCAGGTGGCCATCTTACCCAGAATTTCAGGCTTTTAGCTCTCCAGTCCCTTGTGTTGTTGTACATCTGCCTCCAGCTCTGCTGCTCTTCTCCCCCATCTGCCGTAATCCTCCTCCTCACATCTGTGCTGCTTGTGTTGTTGTTTAGTATCGTGGCTTGTGTTGTCTGCTTCTGCTTGTAGTCTTATATGGGCTAAGGCTCTGAAAATGTAAATGTATGATTGTATGTACTGCTAGCATGGTAGTTCAAGCTTTGTGCTAGGCTCTAGTAAAAAGTATGGAGACTAAAAGTAATCCAGGTGCTGTCTAGACAGCCTAGCCACTAGTTGTGAGGTGATTTGTGTAGTGTCTGGGTGTACATGAGCGCCTGCTTCATAATGCAATGATATGCAGTTCTCTTGCGTATTCAAGAAAAAGAAACATGAACGTACTGATACTTGGATTAGAGGCACAATAAAGCAGTACATTATTTAAGAAATGTTCCAATCAGCTCCTCACTGTCCCCCACCCCCCTCAACTCCGAAGCTTCCATTTTTGGGGGCATCTTCACTCTACGCTCTAGTGGACATGTGATGTGGTCTTCACAAGCTCCTTGTCTTTGCTTTGTGGATTCATGTTTGTAATCTTCTACTACAATCCTTGCCGGTCCAGTTGACTTTTGATTGTTACAAATAAATGGCCCTCACTGTCTTTTTTCTGTTAATCTTTCTAGCTGCGACCAAACTTCTGTGATGCATGGTCAAATCTTGCTAGCGCATATACCAGGAAGGGGAGACTGAATGAGGCAGCTCAATGCTGTAGACAAGCACTTGCTATAAATCCTCGATTGGTACGTACATGTGTTCATCAAGTTAGTAGTTGTGCTTGTTTGTGAACTGATGCCATTTTGTGCCTGACTTAGGTTGATGCACATAGTAATCTTGGAAATCTGATGAAAGCTCAAGGTTTCATTCAAGAGGTGAGCAACTTGATTTTCTGGCCTTTTACCTGTCACTGTTTTGTACTAAAATTTCTTCTTTGCACTCAGTTTTCACCATTGTTTCCGTGCATTTACATGTTCTTGTCTATAATGTTGTTTTGTGTGCATGTGTATCATCTTATTTGTTCCATATATAGTTCTACATTTCTTGTTGGTAGATTAATTGCATTTGTAGTTTTCGCAACACAGTATAACTTCTCGAACTATCACAAAACTAAAGATCTTATGAACTCAGTGACCTATGTCCATGGTCAAACATTTGCACTCCACTTGCACCACTTGCAGTGACACAGATCAATACTCTCAGACATATATGTATTGAAGTGCACTAAATATGCAGTTCTTTGGCAAATGGCCTTATTTTGTACTGCTATAGAATTGGCACTAACTTGTTAAAAATGGTCTTAAAATATGTTGTTTGTCATGGTTTGGTTAGTTTACGTGCACTTTGTGAAAGGTTAATGAGATTTATGCCATTTCGATTTTGCCAGTTTTAAAAAATGCTACTATAAAGGTTGAAATTGGGACCAGTGTGATTATAATTTGCCTCTGGTTTGAAGTATGCCATTTTGTATGCCTCTATACCTCTGGATCTACTTTTAGGCTTTCATTTTTCCGTATGGAGAATGAACTAAGATACACTGGTCTAGGGTAGCTTTGACATCTTCTAATTCCTAAATCCTTGCTGTGCTCCATGATCGGCAGCAAGAGCATCACATGAGTTAAACCCGTCTCCAACTCCTTTAATCTGTCCATGAACGCTGCCACTAACTGGATGTGGGTTGGGCCACTCCATTATGCTGGTCTTCCGCCTCCCCCCTGTGCACACATTCCTCCACCACCTTGCTCGCTGCTGCAGGGTGATGGAGGCATACTTCTCATGGCGACAACCGTCTGCCACGTCCACTTCCAACATGAGCCCCTGTGCGCTGCCATCAGACGAAGGGCAGCCCAGTATGGACTTTGCAGCTCCATGCCTGAGGTGGGGATCCCTTGTGACTATTTCCATGGACTCTTTGTCATGGGGTTCTCCTGGTGCACCGTGGAATTCTGTGCTTTGTCTGGTGTGCCACCATGGGAAGTAAAGGGGAGCTTGGGCTTTTCCTTTCACAGATCTAGTTTCTCTATGCCTTACCTTATTGTCGCCATCAGTGTGATGGTGCGTCGAGGAGTGCCCTTGTGCACCAGCACCACAGATCTGGAGCGCTGGAAGGGAGGCTGCAGCCGTGATGCATGTGCGGTTCCAGTTCTCAGCCATAGGCTTCCTCACGCTGTCATGTGGCATTGAGGCATTTGGGCTGCTCGCCCTCGGTTGCCTGTCCTTGTTGGCCAAGACTTGGGTCTATCTGTTCTGGATATCTCAGTAGAGATTGGAGTTACCCCGTTTTCGTTTTCTTTCCCCAATTGTATCAAGTAGGAATAATAAATTAGAGGAAGAAGATAAGACTAAGGAAGAGGAAAGGCGGTGGGGATATATTTTGATCCACACTGAAATATGACAGTAAAAAACACATCTGAGTTTGTCCCAGACAATGTTTACAAATCGTATAGTTGACTCTAGTCACCATGGAACCGACCAAGCGACTAGTAGTCGACCAGACTGACTAGTTGAGCCTAATCGGTCCTTGTCGTCCTATATATTCCAGGACATAGGCATACTACATATACCTATGTATACTATAAGTATACACAGTAAAGCGTCAAGACTACATTAGTGGCTAGTTGGTGACTTGCACAACAGAGTAGCGGAGCGGCAGCGGCACAGCAATGCCAACAAGCAACCAAGGATGCATATGGAAAGAAGATGGAGGGAAGGGGCACTGTTGGAGGAGCTCATCTTCGCAATCCTTGCCTCCCTGGAGAAGCTTCACGGGGGGGGGTGGCGCTGGGGCCTATCGGAATGAGGGATTAGGCGACAGTGGCTTGACTAGAAGAAGAATTGCACGCGGTGGATAGGTGGAAACGTCTGTGGTGGAGAGGAAATGTGCCCAGCAGGAGAAGGAATAATGATGGCTTGCTGCGTGCCAATTTCTGACGCCTCTGTCTCTGCCTTTTGGAGTCCTGGGCAAAACTAAGCTAACCCTACCAGGCCAAATTGGCAGCCGAATAGCCAGCCTCAGAGGCCAGTTGAGCAGGCCTGCGAATGGGCTACAGCCAACCTGGTGGTCCACTCCCTAGTCCCTAATCGAATGACTAATCGCAGTTTATCAACAATTAGTCAGACGGCCAGGAACCTAGTCAAGATAATCACCTCGGTACCCTTAACCAAGTTCAAGGACCAATTACGATTAATCGGATGACTTTACTTGTAAACATTGGACACTATGGCATGGTTCTAATATCCACAGAATTGTAATGGCACTGGTCGTACTTTGACATTTATAATGTTGTATTTCTTGTAATGGTATGAATCTGAAGATCATCTTTTATATTTATCTGTTGGCTTCAGCACTTGAACTTCCCTGGTGTAGACTGACAGCTTTGTGATTGGACATGTTGATTGTAATAACAGGCATACAGTTGCTACATCGAGGCGTTACGCATAGATCCTCATTTTGCAATTGCATGGTCAAACCTTGCTGGTCTGTTTATGGAGGCAGGAGACCTCGACAAAGCTTTAATGTATTATAAGGTAAATGCTGCGATTGTACTTATTTGACTATTACACTGCTCCCTCTATTAAAAAAATATAAGGCGTACATGTATCTCAAGATTCAAACCTCGTTATCTTTGACCAGCAAGTAGTTTAAATCTTTGATCAGCAAGTAGTTTAATTATATAAGAAATTTTGAGCTACAAAATGGTTAGATTGGGATTGTATTTAGAAATACTTTCTAATGATCAAACTTTTGTTTCCACAAATTATATGTTATAAGAGAAGTGAGTGGTTGAAGTGTGATAAGACCACACCAAGTCAAATCGTGCCGTATGTTTTGGGGTGGAGGGAGTACTTCACGTCACTTATGCTTATTTCATAGTTTATTGAGGTCCCTTATGTAATGAATTGTATTTTTTGTGGTGCATGTGAAGGTCATAGATCATTTTATTTACATGGAATCTAGGAGAGATGGAAGTTACTTCATGCATTTGCCATGGCACGATGGTTTATTTTGGGCTAAATTGTGCTGTCACTTCCTAGCGTCATGTTTTGGTTTTGAGATTTGGATTTTCCTTTAGTGATTACTTTTTGCTTCATGGCTCTTCTGTGCCTTGCAAATCTACCGAAACAGTGCTTTCTCATTGTAATGAAGGGAATTTAAACTTCTCTTGAAACTTGCAGGAAGCTGTTAAGCTTAAGCCATCTTTCGCCGATGCATATCTTAACCAAGGGAATGTTTATAAGGTAAGTCTATAGGTTGTGACACAAGTATCCTGCAAGAGAATGCAGGGATAACTTCACTCTTGGAGGGAAACTGGATCTTATATATTTTGGTTCTCCAGGCTTTGGGAATGCCTCAAGATGCCATTATGTGTTATCAACGTGCACTGCAGGCACGTCCTGACTATGCTATGGCTTATGGTGAGATTTGATTCTTTTTTTGCTTTGCCAAACCCTGGCCTCTCTGTATCAGGGTATTATTTTCTTTAAAACTTCTTAACTTTTAGCACAAAAATAAAAGTAAATACTGATTAAAGATTATCCTTCGAGTTCGTTCATTTAGATACTCATCTCGGGTGAGATGCAAACAAGCTTACAAGAGAATGGTCCTTTCTTTACCTTCAAAGTAGAGCCTTAGTATACCTCGTAATACAAAGGTAGGGGGAACATTTTCGTGCAGGTAATCTTGCTACTATTTACTATGAGCAAGGCCAGCTTGATATGGCAATTCGCTGTTACAATCAAGCTATAGTCTACGACCCACAGTTTGTTGAAGCATACAACAACATGGTTAGTCTCTGATCCACATTTTGTAAACTATTTTTATGTATAAATTGAACAACTAGTTCACAATTTTTATCTCTGTAGGGCAATGCACTTAAAGATGCTGGAAGAGTAGAAGAAGCAATCAACTGCTACAGAGTATGTTTTCTTGCTATTGATTTTACTTGTTCTACATGTTGCTCATGTTGTGATCTAGTTGTATTTGTGCAGTCCTGCCTTGCACTGCAAGCAAAACCACCGCAAGCCCTTACTAACTTAGGAAACATATACATGGAGTGGTGAGATTCTTATATGCACATATTCTTAATATGAATGGACATAAACTTTTATCTGACTTAAAAAGATGCAAGTGAGCTCATGATGACAAAAAAAAAATAATGCAGGAACATGATAAGCGCTGCTGCTTCATTTTACAAGGCAGCTATATCTGTGACATCTGGATTATCTTCCCACTTAACAATTTGGCTGTGATATACAAGCAACAGGTGGTTTTCTTTCCTTCATTTTGTCTGATCATATTGTAGCTGTAGGACAACAAAGTTCCTGTTCTAATGTTCAAATTAAATGATTGGTTGAACAATATCCAAGACCCACACCTGCTGTTTCTATCTCTGATTTCTCTATTTTGTATATGTACCAGGAAACTATGCTGATGCTATCACATGTTACACTGAAGTACTTCAGTATAGATCCTACAGCAGCTGATGCACTAGTTAATAGAGGGAACACATTCAAAGAGATTGGCAGAGTTAATGAAGCAATTCAGGATTATGTTCAGGCAGCAACAATTAGGCCAAACATGGCAGAAGCCCATGCCAACTTGGCCTCAGCATACAAGGACAGGTATATTCTATGAATCTCAAGCCTATGCAGTGTTAATGTACTGCATTTAATTTCTGGCATCATTTTTTTATTTCTGTTGTATAATATGGTAATGTAATCTTTTTGCAGTGGGCATGTAGAAACAGCTATAGTTAGCTACAAACAGGCTCTCCGGCTGCGCCCTGATTTTCCTGAGGCAACCTGTAATCTCCTGCATACTTTACAGGTATCTTGCAATTTTTCTCTACCCTTTAAATGCATTTTTGAAATAAAGATTTAAATAAGACTGTAAACTCTTGAGGAAATAAAAGATATGTTACAACATATTCATCTTTATGTTGTGTCTGCTACTTATGCAAATTAATACAGCAGAGTTGTGCAAACATGCAAGGACATTGTTGCAAAGCACTGCTCAATTGTGAGTTAACATTGGTCACATATAGAAATCTCTGATGTAGGTTAATGGCTTTGTATTATGTTGACCCTGCAAAACCTGCTAGGCTGCTACCTGCATTAGGATTAACTTCAGGCTCTTCCATCGGATTATTATATTGGCTTTTTCACCTTTGCTGCCTTTATAATCCTGTATTGTTGAAGTTTTGGTCCAGATGATTTGAAGCAACTGACCTTTTAATAGGGATGGCTAGCCTACTAATGTGGATCGTTTTCTTTGCATCACTGCAGTGTGTCTGTGACTGGGAAAACAGAGATGCCATGTTCCATGACGTTGAAGAAATTATTAGAAGGCAGATAAAGGTGCCCTTTATAAAAATGAATGAAATTCCATTTTTAATATTGGGGAATTCTTTTCCTGCACAACTAATATTTTTTGTCCTTTTTCCTACAGATGTCAGTACTTCCAAGTGTCCAACCTTTCCATGCCATTGCTTATCCTATCGATCCAATGCTTGCTTTGGAAATAAGGTGAGTTTCACTGTACACTTCGCTGGTCTTTTAATTAAAGAGTAATGTCCGATTTACCGCCGAAACATGTCGCTGAATTTAAAAAGCTCCCTCGGACTCAAATACTGGACAACTTAACCCCTCAACTTTGAAGACTGGATAAAATCGTGGCGGTGGGGCTCACATGTTAGGTGGTCTCTTTCTTTTATATCAAAAAATCATAACTTTTTCATATTTAGTCGGATGAATACAAACTTTATATCAAAATGGTAGAGCTCGATGCGATCTAAACTTTCTAGTTGATTTTTTTTCTCCATTTGAGATCATTTAGGAGCTCACATATTCAATAAAAGATGGTATGACTTAAAAAACTGAAGATATGTATGCCACATCAACCAAAACCACCATCGAAATCACTCTGAATATTTTAGGGGTGGTCGTTTATCCGGTTTGAAAGTTAAGGGGTATGTTGTCTGGTATTCGAGTTTGAGGATGTTTTTAAAATTCAGCGACAAGTTCCCGGTGGGGGACAGAATTTACTTTGAATTAAACTACATCCTTTCCTTTTTTTTAATATAACCCTTTTCATTGACAGCCGTAAATATGCGGCCCATTGTTCCTTGATCGCCTCTCGTTTTGGTCTACCGCCTTTTGCGCATCCACCTCCTGTTCCTGTAAAAGCAGAGGGTAAACACTGCCGACTGAGAGTAGGGTATGTACACAAACTTTCTTTTGTACATTGAATTCGAAAGATTATCCAACAGCAGAATAAATGGCCTTTCCATGCTACAGATATGTGAGTAGTGATTTTGGAAATCACCCCCTTTCCCATCTCATGGGATCAGTATTTGGAATGCATGATCGTGCCAATATCGAGGTTGTTTTATTTCCATTGAACCTCCTTCCCTTTTCACATTATGTTGTGGTTCTCTATCTGACCCATGATGGAATGGCAGGTCTTCTGCTATGCACTCAGTCAAAATGATGGTACTGAGTGGAGGCAGCGTATTCAGTCTGAGGCAGAACATTTTGTTGATGTTTCAGCCATGACTTCTGATAATATCGCTAGACTTATCAATCAAGATAAAATACAGATATTGATAAATCTTAATGGCTACACAAAGGTAATAAATAATGCTGTCCATTCGGTGAATAGTTTGTCAATTCTTGATATCTCAGTTATTGTTTTGGTTGTTCAGTTTCTTCAAATGATTGTCATTTGCTTTTCTCGTGCTGCAATGTGTATCCTTGGTTCTTCTGGGGCAAATTGTTTATTGTGACTTTTGAGGATTGTGATTGCTATTTCGTTGGAACCACTGATATCTATTATCGGTGTTACATAGAATTAGAAGACCTTACCATGGAGGCATGGAATTTTGTTGTTTTATTAAAAAACAATAAATTTACATTGAAGTTGGGGAATCAATGTAATTTTGTTATTTTTAACACAAGGTGCAGTTTGTTATATTGTTTGTCTGTACACAGCCTTACACTGATATTAGGTGTCCTTGTGTTGCTATTTGCTGTCTGACATGTACTTGATGGAAACAGGGTGCCAGGAATGAAATTTTTGCATTGCAGCCAGCACCTATCCAAGTTTCGTACATGGGGTTCCCTGGAACAACGGGAGCTGCATACATAGACTACTTGGTCACAGATGAGGTACGTGAGCATCTACAGTCTTGTCTAACAGTTAATTAGCTTAAGTGATTTATTTTGAATGCTGTTTGTTTAAATGGTCTTGCAGTTTGTTTCTCCAACTAGATATGCACATATATATTCAGAAAAGCTTGTCCATTTGCCTCATTGCTATTTTGTCAATGACTACAAGCAGGTTTGTCTTCATGCTTCTTCATGTCTTCTTTTCCTTTTTTTTTTCATTAATGATATGTGATATAAATTTCAAAACATGTTCTGTACCAGAAAAATCGAGACTGTCTCACTCCTGTATGTCCACACAAAAGATCTGATTATGGATTACCTGAGGATAAATTTATTTTTGCTTGCTTCAATCAGCTTTACAAAATGGATCCTGAGATATTTGACACATGGTAAGTGTCCACTATCTACATGCTCCATGTGTGCACTGCAAGTTTGAGGCATGTGTTTTTTATTTTAGATTTCCCAATGGTGCTCGATGAATTAGATTGATCAAACTAGATTTATTTACTCTTTTCACTGGACTATTCTTTATTATATTATGTATTGATACTAATATTTTGCTCTCAATTCTTTCTTAAGGTGCAATATTCTCAAACTTGTTCCCAACAGCGCATTATGGCTCTTAAGATTCCCGGCAGCTGGTGAAACTAGAGTGAGAGCACGTAAGTACACTTAAGAGGCTCCTATTGTTTATTTTTCACTTTTTAATCTACATTGTAAACGAAAGCTTCAAATGAAGACGGTTTATTCGACATCTGCAATGTCCCCTCTATACAGATGCTGCTGCAAGAGGAGTAAGATCAGATCAAATTATATTCACAGACGTTGCCATGAAAAATGAGCATATACGACGCAGTGCACTGGCAGACCTTTTCCTGGACACGTATGAAGTTCTTCTGTTATTCTTTTTTCAATCATAAGCTGAAAACATAAAATTAATTTACACAGTCCTCATGATTTTTCTGGATCAGCCCCCTCTGCAATGCACACACAACAGGCACTGACATACTGTGGGCTGGTCTGCCGATGATCACCCTTCCACTAGAGAAAATGGCAACCAGAGTAGCTGGTTCCCTTTGCGTAGCTACCGGGCTTGGGGAGGAGATGATTGTTAGCAGGTAAATATGGATAAAAATACTGATTTAGATGTTATAATTGAACGGTGCGGAGGCTTACTTCCTTTTTGTGCCAGCATGAAGGAGTATGAAGATAGAGCTGTAGACCTTGCGCTAAATCCAGTGAAGCTTCAAGCATTGACTAACAAGCTCAAGGAAGTTCGTATGACCTGCCCGTTGTTCGATACAGCTCGATGGGTAAGTTCTTGCAATCAATATCCCTGAACAATCATGATCTCAGTTAGTCTTGAATTCTGATCAACATTACATGCAAACTGTCTCAGGTGCGCAATCTTGAAAGGGCTTACTACAAGATGTGGAACCTTTACTGCTCCAGTCGCCACCCGGAGCCATTCAAGGTGTTAGAGGATGACAATGAGTTCCCGTTTGACCGCTAATGAGATTTCATCACCAGCCCGGCTCTGTAAATAAGGCAAGAGTAGTAGCATATTTAGCATTGTGACCGCTCCAGGTGCTTGTTTGCCGCTGCCTGTCCTACTGTGCACATCACCTCTGTGGAGGCTAACTTGTGTAGTATGTACACTACAAAAGTCCTAGGGCTAGCCTGTATTGTTATCATTATTGTTACCGAGGTCTATTTATTAGTAACGAGCCATAACTGTTATCAGGCTGTTACTTTGTATTGCAGTCGTGGTTTATAAAATAATCTGTAACCATAAAGGGTGTCGATGTGAAATCTCATTCTTAATAACTTCTGTCCACTGAATTTTGACATGGGGTTTGCCGGCTGTGGGCATGGGAATGTGGCTTATTTGCAAGCAGCTACTCCGTACATGTGAATGGCATCGTTAGTCTAACAGGAGTTTGTAGTGTTGCTTCTTGAAGCTTTGTTTGATTTGGTGATTTGAGACAACTGGAGTCTGCTGGGGAAATGAATTTTCTTTGGTAATAAAGCGAAATATCCAAATGCTCCATAGAGTTGAACTATATGCTCTGAATTTTGATTTTCAGGTAAGTCAGCCATTTTTGCAACTATTACCTTGTGCGCAAGCAAATGAATCTGTTGGCGTTTAGGTGATGGAATTGAACTTCTGATGGAAGAAAGAGGATAGCTTTAATTAGTGTCACGGAGCTCTAAATAGATAGGCTAATTTCATAATGCATTTTGTGCTCTGGCGATGCCTAGAATCTGTGCGTTCTGAATGTTTTCAGATTACAAAATTTGAATCGAAGGACTCATGAAGATTCTTGAATTTAGTGAGTGCATTGTGAAGACCATCAGTAATAAAATAAAAAGATGATAGCAATCAGTAATAAAACGATGATGGCAAACTGGTTTGCACGGCTATACCCGTCTTTTTCCAGTTTTCTGTGAGAACTGAGAACTAGCGAGTTGGTTAGATCTCGTCTGCTCCGTTGAAATAAATAAACCTAGCCGCATATTACTGTCGGAACCGGCAAAGCAAATGATGATCAGTAGCGAACGACTCCATACATATATATAACAATAGACTAGAGTCACCTACTTGTCCGGTGAAAATGGACCAAGTGCTAGAACTTTGCAAATCCATTAAAACCCTACTTAGAAATTCTCGACTGTCCTAAAATGTTTTATGACTTCAAGGTGTAAGGAAAATAGACCCTTGGTCCATTTGCTTTAGATTTTAGTGTTTAATGATCAACAAGACTAAATTGGACTAATGTGTTTGCGAGTGTTAGTTTGTAGTCCAATAGGTTGCAAACTTGACTTGGACGAAAGCGACGTGATGATTCAATGATCAACACCTCAAGTAAGACCATAGAAGCACAATAGAAGACCCAAGAAACCAAGTAAAGTCTAAGCACGAAGATAGGAACCAAGCCGGACGCAAGATCGCGAAGAAACGAGTTCGGTAGAGGTGACCGGACACGGCCCTTATGAGGACCGGACATGTTCGATCAGCTGCTCGGCAACAGCAGGCGTCAACAGTAGCGACCGGACGCTGAGCGAGGCAGTGACCGCACGCACGGACTTCACTGCTCATCGTCGCGGCAACAACTCAGTGAGGACCGGACGCAGCAGCTGTGGACGACCGGACGCGCCAGGCAATGGCGTCCGATCGAGTCCAGAGAGGTTCTAGAGCGGCGAAACGTCGACCGGACGCGTCAGATGATAAGCGACCAGACTCGCTAGAGAGTCCGATCAACAGTGAGCGCCAACGGTCGGGACAACCGGACGCGTCCGATCAGGACGACCTACGCGTCCGGTCAATGGCAGAAAGCTGGGTTTCGTCCCTAACGGTTACTTTCTGTCGGCGCAAAAACGTATCAATGCACCGGACACACAACAAGCCGGAAGGATCTGCTTAGGATGAGGCCGGAGATCCGCTTGGCTTCAACATAGGGTTAACCGATCCTGTGAATTCCTCCCGAAGCGTGCCAGTCAATTTGACCTGCAATTGACAAGGAGAGAAAGTTTATCAGTAATTTAAGGTGGAACATGCCGGTCTTGCCCAGACAATTCCAAGTGTGCCGCTTCGGTAGGAAAATCGACTAAATAGCCAATACACGAAGAAATCAGCTATTACGGACAATAAAGTTTATGGATCATGATTGATTTTATGTTGATAAGTACAATGCCTGTAGATGTAAGTGAAATCATCAGCTAGGTGGATATTACCAGTGTGAATCATTGAGCCGATGAATCTAACGAGAAATGATATAACATGCGAATAAATCGACTGTTTAGTATGAATGGATCTACAAACGCTCTGAATCTAATCTATTACCATCAACAGTGAGGTTCGATCGGATCGATGGCAGCTATGATGATAATAACAAACTAAAACCTTAGAATTCGTAAAACCATCTACACATCGATAGACTTTTCGAAAGACACGCTATATATGTGAAAGCTCGAGCGAATCGGTTAAAATAGCCGATTCAGGTGAAAAGGGACTACAACATATGAACAATTGACTATTTAACACGGACAAACCTATGAACTCATCAGACTTAATCTGCTATCTCTAACAGTGGGGTTCGACCAGATCGATGCAGCTGTGATAAAGACAACAAATCAAACCATTAAAGTAAATTGATCTATTCATGTTTAACAGAATCATGGAGACACACTGTAGACGCGTTAGAGCATAGGCGATCGGCTATTTAGCCAATGCAGGCATAGCAAACAGTTAAGGTCACGCCTAATTGAGAACAAATCTACTAACTAGCATCCTCCAATCTATAGGGCCATCAGTGGGGATCGACCGGATCGTTACAACCATAATAGCGAACTATAGACCGGATTTAATTAGCCAGCAAACCTCTTTAAGGTCATACATGCCTTAACCACGTACTATGCACGATCAAGATCGAAGTAAAAATAGCCGATGAAACGTAACATGTCGCTCAAAGTAAGAAATATCGTGTGGTAACAAAGCAAACGACGAACTAAAATAATGTGAGGTTGATCTAGATCGATCTCTGACCGGACAGATTGATGTTGCTGCAAACTAATAGCAATAAGAATATCAGTAAGATCGGTAACTTAATGAATCTTCCCGAAGGACGCCACCCTTAAGGTAGAGCCGATAACTTGACCTTAATCTAATTCGAGCAGTGGAGGTCGAACTTAACCGATGCAGCCATACTTCAACTAGATAAGAGTCAATAACTAGCTTATACTAGAGTTTGCAATGGAGGTCGAACTTAACCGATGTAGCCGTACAAACGGAAGTATAAGCCATGACGGTACTTACAGACAAGTCGGAGGTCGCCCGGACCAATGCAGCCCTGCTTGTTGAAGAACTCACCAAGATCTACTCTACTCCTACTCCTAAGGGTTGGCACGGAGCCAAAAAAAAGTAACTTGTATTGATTGATTGGATTCCTTCTTACAATAGCCGGGGTCCAATATTTATACCTGGAGCCTAAGTATGAATCCTACTCAAGTACGACTTATTACAATCTTTGGTATAAAATAAAATATTTCCAACTTAAGATAACTTGGACCCTAATCTTTCCCTTTTTGTAGAGGCTGACATGTATGTCCCGACACCTACCGTAGCTCATTGTCGTTATTTGCTGACGTCATTTGAAGAGAGCTGATTCTAGTGCCATATCTGAATCAGCAGATATCGATCCTTATTCAATCGATTTCTTTATTGACACAATCTTGGAAGCTTTGAGTTCCCGTGTTCTTCTTTCCAAATTTTGGTGTAAACAGAAACATGTCACATATATACTGGGCACAAAAGTCTCAAATATATCTTCACTCAACCTGAGCTGAACATGAGGTAGCGAAGATGGTTAGAGCTGATCAAGGACTACAATTTGGAAGTGCACTACCATCTAGGAAAAGCCAATGTTATAGCAGATGCACTTAGTCGGAAATCTCATTGCAACACTTTGAAAGCATTGTTGGAAGATGGATTTAATTTATTATATCCTGTTGTGCTGCACAATATCACTGTCAGTTGCTCACTCGAGAGCAAAATCATAGAACTGCAGAAGACAGATGTAGGTGTATTTCACACCAAGAGAAAAGATGAAAGAATAAGAAACCAAGCATTTCAGGTTAGATGAAAGAGGTGTGCTATGGTTTGAGGACCGACTTATGGTACCGAAAGATCATGAGCTTAGAAATCAAATTTTAGATGAAGCTCATTCATCCAAGTTATCTATCCATCCGGGTAGTAGCAAAATGTATCAAGATTTGAAAACCCATTTTTGGTGGACCAAGATGAAGAAAAAGATCGCCGGCTATGTCGCTAGATGTGATAATTGCAGTAGAGTAAAGGCCGTTCATTTGAAATCTGTTGGATTACTTTAGCCTTTGCCTATTCTAGGCTGGAAATAGGAGGAAATAAGTATGGACTTTATTACAGGCCTTCCGACGACACAACAAGGTCACGATTCAATATGGGTCATTGTAGATCGCCTCACCAAGTCAGCACATTTTGTACCAGTTAAAACAACATATCTAGCCGGGAAGTACGCCAATTGTATGTTTATCAGATTATGAGACTACATGGAGTACCAAAGACTATAATCTTAGATAGGGGACCACAGTTTATAGCTTGTTTTTGGGAGCACTTGCACCAGGCCTTGGGAACTAAACTAATTAGAAGTTCAGCATACCATCCACAAACTTCTGGATAGACCGAGCGAGTAAACCAGATCTTAGAAGATATGTTGAGAGCTTGTGTTATATCTTCCAAGGGTTTATGGGAGAAATGGCTACCATTATCTGAGTTCTCCTACAACAACAGTTATCAAGCGAGCATCAAGATGGCTCCTTTTGAAGCCTTGTACGGTCGAAAATGTAGAACTCCGTTGAATTGGATTGAGCTCGGCGAAACAAGATACTTTGGCATTGACTTTGTCACTGAAGCTGAAGAGCAGGTACACATTATCCAACATCATATGAAAGCAGCTCAATCAAGACAAGAGTTAT